CTAATTTAGAATTATTATTTTGATAATTAAATTTATCTATGTTTCACTAATATTCTTGTAAAACTTATTTAGATCACCAAATTATTTCTTCGAATACAAAAATTAAATTACAATATAGACAAAAAAATAGTTAATTTTTTTTCTTTACACTAAGAAATGAAAGAAAAAATAAAATAACAATAAGAAACTCAAATAATTATAATAAAAGAAATTAAAAAATAATTTATGTATGAAAAAATTAAAATATACTTTGAACTTTGATAAAAGAACCATATATACCCCTAAATAATTTTTAAAAAATTAAAAGTAAAAAATATAAATTTAAAACTAATTTTTAACTTCCAGAAAATGAAGGGTATATGTGAGCTTATTTTGTAACGGCAAGCGTGTATGTGAGTCGTTTGTATAACGATAAGGGTATATATGAGCCACTTTCATAACGAGAGTATATCAGCTTCAAATGACAAAGTTGAGGGGTATATCATATCATTTTCCCTATAATAAAACTTAAATCAAAATCAAATTAATACTAATGCAAAAAGAAAATCAATTCAACACTAAGATTGACAATAATATTGAATTTTTGACATAGTTTAGACAATTAAAATACAAATTTAATTTTAATATCCTTTAATATTTAGTCATGTAACTAATACTTATTGAACTTATTTTAGCATGATTTAGTACTTTTAAATTATGAATATTTTTATTATAATTTGTTAATTTGCAATTTGTTTCACGCAATTTCATAATAATTAATTTTGTTGGATATTTTAGTGTCATTAGTCATATCATACTTTATGTTTTTTTAGGAAAGACCTTAGATAATTGTATTTTGATAGGACTAAAGAAATATTTGAAGTACAAGTAAATTATATGTTTGTATGAATACTTTATCGAAAAATCCGAACGATCCGAAAAATCCGAAAGAAATAAAAAAAACCCGAGATTGAAAAACCCCACTTTTATTGGTTTGATTTATAAATTTAAAATTCCGACACAAATGGTTTGATTGATATATGAAAAATCCGAATCAACTCGGCCATGTATACCCCTAATTAGGCATAACTTCCCATTTTTACTTTAATAATTATTGTCTAATTTATGATTAAAATAACTAAATATTAATTAATCACTAATTTTAATACTAACCATGAAGGGTAAAATTTAAAGAACACTCTGAAATATTTTTAAAAACTGAATATTAAGTTAATTTTAAAAATAAAAATATCTTAAAAATTCAATTAATTTAAAATGGTGGGAGTACTGCAAAAAGATGTTTTACTTTTTGCACTAGAAATCGAAAAATAAAGCATTTGCAGAAATTGAATACACATAGCTCCATGTCTTTTAATTTATCTACGTCATTCATTTGTTATATTATTATTTATTAAAAGATAGACTTACTTTTTAGAAAGAAAAAAAGAACATAAATAGTAGTTAAATAAATAGCAAAACATTTATAGATATTTTTGTGTATATATATTCAATAGCTTAATGCATTGAACAAAGTGTACATTCATATTCTTGTACAATATTATTGTAGGAATAACATTTTCATCGAAGGATATTGATGTCATTCAATATTTTATGGACATTTTGATAGTTCAATTCTTAAAATATTTTGTTCTTACTCATATATATACTTACTATTACTAATTTAATTGAAGTTTATTTCGCTTTTTTATGTGAAAAAATTGTCAGAGTAATTTATGATTACTATTATTTAATATTTAATTAATAAAATATTTTATAACCTTTTTAATGGGTAACTTTTACATTTAGCAAACAAAAACTTTAAATTTGTATGTTATAGTAAAATTTACATAATTGTTCCATAGCATATACATACATACATATATATATATATATATAAAATTTGCTATACATATACAACTGAAAGTTATGCCTATGTCGCTATATATATATATATACATATATATATATAAGAAGCAATTGTATAATTCATTGGCTCCTCTTTAGATTTGTATAATTTCGCTGCAATCCATTTGTATAAATTGTTAGCCTCTCATTTGTATAAACTGTTGTTAGTCTCTCAATTCAAATGTATGTGTTTGTATATCTGTATAAAATTTGAATTTATATACAATTGAATTGAATTGTATAAAACGAAAAAGAGAAAAATTATATACAATTTGAATTTTTATCAAACGAGAAAGAAAGAAAGACAAAAGAGACTTGGGCAGGAAATATACAATTGAATCAAATTATAGAAAACGAGAAAGAGAGAGATTATACACAATTTAAATTTGTATAAAATGAGAAAGAGAGAAAGGTAAAAGAGAATTGGACAGAAAAATATTTGTATTGTATAATTATAAGTGTATAGGACGAAGATATATGTATTTGCATGTGTATATACAATGTTCTCTCGTTTTATACAAACAGAAACACAATTTATACAATTCCATTGTATAAAGCGAGAGAGGCGAGCGACAGTGAGCGAGTGAGAGAGAGAGAGAGAGTGGTGAGCGAGAATACGAGGGAGAGAGGCGACTAACAACAATTTGCTATGGAATACAAATAAATCAAACAATAGCTATTGTATTTATATTATATTATTAACTTGTCATTTTATACAATTAGCCTTTTTTTTTTAATTTAGTATATGAGTAAAATGATCATCCAACCTTAAATCTTTTAGCTTTCTACTTTATATTATTATTATTATTATTATTATTATTATTATTATTATTATTTATTGCTTATTAAAGATAATAAGATGAAAAGTTAGGAAAATGAAGAGGTGTAGTTATAAAGTTGATTTTAATTGGAAAAATAATTCTTTAAAGTTTTTTTTTAAAAAATAAATCAATAGGAGGTGTAGTTTTGACTATTATACATACACTAAAAATCAGGTGTCCGTGCTTACGTAGATTCAATGTATATTAGTGTTTTTTTTATTTATGTGACATAAATAAAATTTGAATAAGTGAACTAAATTTTGTATATGTATTTTTTTAAATTTTAAATTATTAAATTTATGTACCTTTTGTGTCATTTTCGAATAATATGTGTTACTATATCTATTTTATTTATATAATACAAGTGATTTTAGGAAAGTCAACGAAATTTCTTATATGATTCTCACATATTTTTAGTTGTTATTTTATTGTGATTCATAGTACTTTTTAGTTCTTACATATGCAACTTTTTTTGTTTTGATAAAATTAAGAGAGTCAACCAAATTTCATTATGTTTTTTAACTATATTTTTCTAAAAATATTTTAAATTGTTACGTTGCGTTTTTAAGGCTTTTTTAAATGTAATTTTCAAATATTTAACAAATTAGAAATTAAAACGAAGAATTAAAGTTTTCAAATCATTATATTTCTATATTAAGTATTCAAATTTTAAAACTCCACATATATGCACAAATTAATAGAAGGAACACAAACGACTTTTAAAATATATATATATATATATATATATATATATATATATATATATATATATATATATATATATATATATATATATATATATATATATATATGAGAGCTCATTTTAATAATAACACATATATATTTCATTTTAATATATGAATCCCTCCTTTTCATTTTATATAAACTTACTTTTAAATTTTGTTTCAAAAAGAAAATAACTTCTGAATTTTATTTTTTATAAAGCATATTTAAGATCACGAAATTACAAAATATTTCAACACAATAATTTTAAGTACACATATAAATTTTAACTTTAATTTTGATTGATTCCACATAATATTATACTTGACATATAATTATTAAGAGCTAAGTGTAATGATTGTTTATTTACTTTCATATAATAAATAGATATCATAACAACTCTTAAAAAAATAAAGAAACAACAAAAAATGAGGTAATACTAAAAATAATCACTAAACATGTTACTAGAACTATTTAATTTTCTTGTTATCATTCGTGGTAGATTTTTGCTTGCATAAAATTACATGTTTACCTTTGATCATCATTCACTTCATATATAAAAGATTTATTCTTGATAGATTTTTGTTAGAATGAAATTACATTTTATTCTTAGCCATCTTTAATATAAAATATCATCCTATTCATTTTTATTTGTCAAGTTACTTTTTAACATCTTTTCTTTGATTTGAATCTAATATATCTTATTAATTTTATCACACTTCTTTATTTTCAGGCATATTATTAGAGTAAAAATAAAAATGGAAATAATTAACTCATGATAATTTTTTATATTAAAAGTAGGCATTTTTTTATAAGCATAATGAATAGGAAAAAATATTAAGAATTAATTTAAAGTAATAGTAAAATAGAGTAACAATAAAATAGATATCACAATAACTCACAAAAGAAAAAAAAGTGAAGTAATAACAAAATAAGTTAATGCTAATAACAATAACTTATGTTTGTAAAACTATTTAATTTTTTTGTTATCATTCTTGATAGATTTTTGTTAACGTGAAATTACATTTTTGTCATCGATCATTATTCACTTCATATATAGAAAGATGTTTCTAAAATTATTAATGATCTTTTTTGATAGATTTTTGTTAGCGTGAAATTATATGTTTATCTTTTGTCGTTCTCCCACTTCACTCTTCTATATAATAGAAAAAAAAGTAATAATATTAGAAGAAATAAACATTGACTCTCTCTCTATATATATATATATTCAATGTTTTATTTCTTCTAAAAGTGATTATTACTAGGGGCAAAATGAGAAAAATATACTCAATTATATAAGTCAATGTTTATTTCTTCTAAAAGTGATTATTACTAAGGGCAAATGAGAAAAATATACTCAATTATATATTTTGAAACAAGTATTTTTTAGTACATGTTTCTTGTCTTTAATTGTTTCCTGCTATGAAATAAAAATTGTTTCCATGTACCATGATCATTTTTCTTGCAGAAAATATATAAGGTTAGAAAAAGTGATTTAAGTTATCAAATTAATAGTATGAAAGTTGGTGAATGTAAACATTAAAACATAATATAATCGAAAGAGTAGAGATATATGGCTGAAATAATAGCGGTTTTATTTGATATATATATAAGAAAAAAAATATTTGAAGTAGTGAAAACATGGCATGAAGTTCTACTATATACATTTTTATATATGTGATAGCCAACATTCAGCCTTTAAGCTCTATTTATTTCTTGTTCGCACACTTCATTTGAACAGCCAAAGTCTTAAAGATATTAGGGCATGGGTCCTTGCTCGGCTCGTCGTAAATTTCTCTCTCAATTGGGATGGTGCATGAGTTTTTGCCTAAGCATTTTTCTTGTGCAACAGCCATACTCTTTGCAGAATTGCAAGTTCCAACAGCCAAGTTTCCACAAGCACCATCTGGATTACCATAACTAGCAAACTCAACTTTTTCGATGATTTTGTTGTCTGGGCAAGTCAAGTGTGCTCCTGTTTTGAGATCTTCTACTATGGCCACAAAGTTAGTACCAGATCTCTCCCATGATTTTACATTTGGAGGATGATATTCCGTGATGATACTGCAAATGGTGTCTCTGTTTACTGTTTGGATTTCGATATCTGCTGGATTACCACCCGTTTCCTCAAACACAACTAGGACATTGCCAGTTGGCTTAACGAAAGCTCTTGGAATGTGATACCTGAGACGACATAATATCACACGCTTAAAAATAAAAATCATATTTTTTAAAAAAAACTATTAAATTTAATTGATTGATTGATATACTTACTCGAACTGAGTGGGTTGTCCAAGTGGGGAGAGGAAAGATGACCAGTAACGACCAAGGCTGTTACCATTCACCCACATCATACCCTTCTGCATTTTGTCCATTTTCACAGCCAATGGGTTGTTGCCTTCAGGGGCATCAAACGTGGTCTGCGTTATACATTAATCGTCAGTAATAAATAAATAATATCAAACTATATTCTATACGATTTAATGACTGAAATGTGTGTTTTACCTTGTACCAAGTAGTAGCTCCATTAGTAGGACCAGATACTGGTGTCCATTTTACTTTCTTTGCACCCTCTTCGGTGAATAATTTCTCTTTCTCTCCAAATACACCAACCTATTAAAATGACAAACACAAGTACTATATATCTTCTGAAGATCGATAATCGTAAAGATCGAATATAATTATTATTATGTATCCTAGTTATATACCTCATGTCCCCAATTGTTTTGAGTTATATCAAGAGTACCAGCCATCAAACCTTGAATGGTTATAGCTCTGGGTCCAGCAAACCTCTTTTCCATGTAGGCCCCGCTATTCTGCATTAGTAAACACTTGTTAATAAATATATATATATATAGAGAGAGAGAGAACTGATTTTTGATGAGGAAGAAAAAAATGTATACCGGGAAGCCAACTGTCTCAGCTAGAATTGAGATGGTGTTAGTTCCAGGTTTCAACACGACAGGCTTCTGGAATACGAAGCCCTTCTCGATGTTGTTACCATGTCCAAATCCTGAATTGTAATACGAACAACAAATGTTAGGTGAAGAATTAATATGTATTAGTGCAATTTAAGTGAGTATGACTAATAATGTACATACCAACGTATTCTCCGTTGACAAAGGCAACTAATGCATGACCCATACTTGCGATTTGTAGCACGGGGAGGATGTCAGGTCTCATGGGCAAGTCATGGCGTTCGAATGTGACACTATAATGTAACAATTTCCAGTATTAGAGTAAACTCAATTTGATGAATTAAGATAGATTAAAGATTGTTAATTGTAATTACCTTGTACTGTACCAAGCATAATCTGAGGTATCCTTAGTTAAAGAATAAAGTTCCAAAGGTTCCCTGTTTTTAAGTGGCAAGTCACTTGAGGTTGGGACTTTTTCTTGGTACTTCTCCCATTTTAGACCCTTTGCTTTCTCTGATGCCACGAAGTTTCTTGAATTGTGTTGGGACACAATCTGTTTGAAAAAATAAAAAATTTGAATTGTTATTGCGCGTTTTTTCAGATGATACGTACTAATCATCACAAATAAACGTTAAATTTACCGTTTGAGTGTTGTAGACAACAGTCTTGCAGTCGGGAAGAATGCTAACGGATTTCTCAGGTAGGTAATAGTCTTTACCCCTGAACTTGATGGTCGCGGGGTTAGTTGTGTGGTTGTTGGTCAAAAAGGCAGTACAGTCAGTTCCTTGTTTCTCATAAACTGTAATCTGTAAAATAGTAATAATGTTTAAGATAAATAGAAGATCTTGTTTATGATCAATTACAATATTATAAATTCTTTTATAATCGATTACTTCAAGGTCTGCGCTGATCTTTTGTACTGTGGGAGTTCCCCAAAGGAGAGCCCTTCTGGATAGCCTCAAAGCCCTGTGTAAATCCCTCAAATGACTCCATTTTGGTTCCCTATACAAACCTGAAAACATATTGAGCGCGATTAGATTATTTATTCTGTAATCAATGGTGCATAGAATTATTAAGGTAGTAGCACTAACCGAACTCATCAAGGGGAGCTTCATCATAGTAACGAGTTGTCACGAATGATGAGCCTGTCCTTCCATAGTTGGTTCCACCATAGTACTGTATAACATAGATTGTATGATTAATTTAGATATGATTAAATTAAGGTTTACGAGAAAATAAGCAGATTACATCAATATATATATATATATATATATATATATATATATACCATGTAATAGTTTGTAAGAGTTCCATTCTTTGCAAAGAAACGAGCTACAGCGAATGCAATATCCTCTGCTGCTCTTTGTGATGGTGGATCTCCGAATGTTCTGTACTGAGCGGTCCAATTTTCAGTCCATAGAGAAGGTTTGTTAGGACCGTTGGGACCTGTGAATGTATCTCCACAATGTCTTCCGTTGCATGTGTTGATCTGAAAACAAAACAAAACAAAAATCGAAAACAGAGTTATGTACATGTTGTTTTTTAAAGCAATCAAACTATTTTGAGATAAAAACTTACGATATGTGGAGGTGCATCCCTTTGCTTACACATGATCCATGGGACTCCGTTGTATAGTGAACTTGCCATATTGGCAGCCCACTGGATGTATTTCAGACCATTCTCTCTGTATGCTAGTTGAACATTGTTGTATTCATTTTCGATTTGAGCCATGATGATAGGGCCTCCTTGAGGTGCAAACAACTGTTCCTTCTTCATCAAATCAATGACCATTTCTGAGTACTTTTTCATGTGGTACTGCAAATTAAGAGAACGATAAAAACCATTAACCCTCTATATAGATTCATTAGTATATAAATGAATACTTTTCATCTGTAAAACTATGAATACGTACGATGAATGGTTCATTGTAAGAACGGAAGGTGATGTTTGGGACCTCCCTTAGCCAGTATGGGAATCCTCTGTTTCATCGTCAATCAACAAAGTCATTATACAAATTACAAACACAAAACATCAACTTAGACAGATTTATGGTATAGTAATACCCTTGATTCCATTCAGCCTCGATATAGGGTCCAATCCTGAGGGTGACATACAAGCCCTGTCGAGCAATTTCTTTGATGAACTTGACAACGTCATAGTTTCCTTCAAAGTTGAACTGCAAGCATATTCATCGACAACCATTATATATACATATATAATTCTGAGATATGTTCACCTCTTTAATACGAATGAACATGTTTGTTACTTACCTGGCCTTGAACGGGCTCGTGGATATTCCAGAAAACATAAGTCTGGATAAGGTTTAAACCTCCCTCCTTAGCTTTCCTAATGACGTCTGGCCACATCTGAAATATTACATCATATTGAAGTTGTAAAACATGATCAAAATAAGCGCGATCATACTTAAAAATATTGAAATTATATTACCTCAGGAGGCATACGAGGATAATGAATGGAACCAGAAAAGAGCAATTCTCTCTCACCATTGACGATCATGGAACGACCATCATAAGAAACACCTTTAGGTTTTTCAGCGAATGTACAAGTAACCATTAACGAAAAGAGAAATAACAACAGTAACCGATTTGATATAGTCATATTTGTTTTTGTGTTTCTAACTTTTTAAATTTTTAATTTTTTTTTGTTAGTATGATCACAGATGAATGCAAATGCAAGGACAAAGGAAAAGAAGACAGTAAGCTATAAGGCACCTCTTCCTTTTGTGGAGGAGGCACCAGGTTTACTTGCTGTCTTGTTTCTCTTGGAATGATTATTTTATGCCTCAATTTATAATGTTAAGAGCATACATACATATAAGGCTTGGAGAAATTTAAGGACTTTCATGGCCTATTCTTTTTTTTCATGTTGTTGCTATTTTGTAGTTCCATTCATAAATATATGGTTATAATTTAATGAAAACTTCTTCATTGGAGAATTGTTCAACCCCATTTTTCTCATTTATTTTACTCCAATGTTATTTTATTAGTATTTCTTTTGAAACCATAGTACCTTAATATATATACACATTTTTTTTATTTCTTCAATAATACTTTGTAGAAACTCGATTTATTTTGTAATATCGATCATATTATGTGGGACCCACCTATCTATCTCTATTTGTATGATTGTTATGCATTATTTTATCTTATATTATTTTTGTGTTATGTTGCAGTGTAGTATTTTAAATATTTGAGTAGATTATATTATTTTTTATAGTTACATAATTTTACAAGAAAATAGGATACAAAGTAAAATTGTTATTAAAAATTAAGTAAAAAGAAATGATTCAATAATAAGTGTGAGATAACTAACGAATTGGCCGTAGGTAGAGGAGTCTCTTTTAATGAAATGAAAAGGAGGAGTGGAGTAGTAAAAGAAATCAAAATTATGTGTAAAATAAAGTATATTATAAATTAAGATAATTAACAATTTAAAATATGAAAAAGGCTCAAAAATATTCTTAAACTATTCGAAATAGCTTATATATACCCTTAATTATATTCCGGCTCAAAACTACCTTTCCCGTTATACTATTGGGTCAAAAATACCCTTCTTGTTAACTGAAACTGTTAAATGCCATGCAAGCGACACAATTTCATTCATTTCCACGTAGACTAATATTTCTAATCCCTAATTTTTCCCCTCATTTCTCAATTTCTATTTGAAGTCATTTCACCCACCCCTTTCCCCTCATTTCTCTAATTCCCTAAGAAATGATTTGATCCATTTCCCTTATTTTCCACTCATTGCAACAATATTGTCTTAGTTTTAGCTTATTTTTGTTCACATGTTCAATTTCATGGCTTAGTGGATTTAGTAGTGGCCACTGTTTGTTTTTCAAACATTAGCTTCCAAACTATGGTGAATAATATTACCGGATCATTCATTTACATTGATGTAACTGTCTAGAATAGTTATAACTAGCTAGGTAAAGGGTAAATCATGCAAATTCCCCAAATATAAAAAAATTAGCTAAAAAGAAAAGGAATACAAGTACCTAAACCAAATACTAAGACACTTGTGAGTTCATAGTTCTTAGGAGTTTTGTCACTAAAACAAGCTTCATATTTTAATTCATCTAAGGAAAATGGAGAAATGAGTGGAAAAGTAGGGAAATGGATGAAAACTTTTCTAATGGAAATGGAGAAATGAGGGGATAGGGGGTGTGAAATGTTTTCAAATCGAAATGGAGAAATGATTCATCTAAGGAAAATGGAGAATTGAGTGGGAAATTATGGAAATGGATTAAATCGTTTCTAATGGAAATGGAGAAATGAAGGAAAAGAGGGTGCGAAATGGTTTCGAATGGAAATAGAGAAATGAGGGGAAACATTAGGAACTAGGAATTAAAAATTAGGAATTAGGAATATTAGTCTACGTGGAAATGAATGAAATTTGTGGCGCTTATGTGACATGTCATGTAGTATTCACATGGCATTTAATAGTTTCAGTTAAAAAGAAGGGTATTTTTGACCTAATAGTATGACAGGAAGGATAGTTTCGAGTCAGAATATAGTTTAAAGGTAAATATGGGCTATTTCGAATAGTTTAGGGGTATTTTTAAGCCTTTTCCGTTTAAAATATATATAAAATTTAGTTGGCTTTCTAAATTTCATATGTGCAACATAAATTGGGATTTAGAGAAATAACACATTATATTCTGTACTACTTAATTTAAAGGGAAAATTATTCGGTTAAACAAACTTATACTACTTGATTACTCCTCATAGTTATAGTTTGCTATAATTTCCGTCGCGACTAACATTATATATTAATTACGTGAAATGACTTTGAGCTTATATAATTAGCCACGTTTGTATATGTATAAATAATTACTTATTTTGGCAATACTTTTTATTTATTCTAATTTAAAGCAATACTATAATGCATGCATGCAATATGTATGTATTATTCAAAATATATTATGTTTGCTTGTTAAGAAATTTACACATTATATTAAAATGTGATGAATAATTCAATAAAACTTGTGTTATATGTGTTTTATAAATTATTATTTGTAATATTATTAAAATTGTATTATAAAAATATTAAAAATGATCAAGTTAGAAAAAATATTATTATTATAAATGATAAATATTTTCTTAATATAATATATTTATATAAATTTCCCTTCTGAAAATGAATTAACACTGTAATATTTTTGTCCCCGGTATATAAGTTACTCGAATATGTATGTATACCTTCCACTTTTTTCTGGAAGATGGTGAAGACCGGATATGCCTCATGAGTCATATCTCTTAGAATATGTTTGACATTATTGTTGAAATGTCAGAAGCACTTATTTTGAGGGGGGGAAATATTTTTATTGAAATATTATGTGTTTGGCAAATTCAAAGTGTTTTAAAACAAAATTAGAAGCAATATTCATGTTGTTAGAAAGAAGCTAAAAACTTTTGCTTCTTAAGAAAAGCAGAAGCACAAACAAAATGTTATTCTTCTCAACAATTAAATATTCCTATCATATATACATACATATTTACTAATATCTCTTATTAATTAATCAACATATCTCATAAGTTTGATTAAATTTCATTGAGAAATTTTATTTTTTATTTTTATATAATATATTTTATGTTTTACGTCTAATTTTATAGAATTAGAAAAAAAGATAATAACAATATTTTTTAAGGTTAGAAAAGGGAAAATTAACCTCCAAAAAAGGTGTATATATATATATATATATAAAATTTATTAGCTTTTTAATCATAAATATTTAAAATAGTTTCTCTGTATAAAATATTTTAATATTAAAAGTGCATTAGTAGTTGTCCTTCTTCGTAATTTGACTCTAAAAATACTCGTTAAAAAGATTAGTCAAACACAATTTACTCATGGAAAATACTTTTCAAACGAATTAGTCAAACACAAATTAATTTTTCAAAAGCACTTTTTTAAAAAGTCATTTTAAAAAGTGCTAAAAATAAGTTGTTGTAACAACAATGTGTAACACCTCGGACTTTAAAAGGGGCTAAAGAGGGGTTCGTGCAAGTCACCCATTAGTTTTAAGTTTGGGTCAACTTCAAATGATAATATCTCTTAGCAAGTAAATAATTAAGTGGTCCATGACCTATCAAATTAAAGATATTTTAGTCCTCTTTTCAATGTTGTCAAGTTTGCTTTATTTCTAGTTTGGAGTCAAACTTTATGCGTGTTTTAAAGAAGTCTTTCTTTTAAGGCAGCTAATCATTCTTAGAGGGGTAGTTTAGTCTTTAACCATCCCTTCTAAGCCTAGTTACATATTTTATTCACCTAATTAAGGGTCTAATCAGTGTTATAACAACTTTTCACATCTTTAACACTTAGAGAAATTAGAGCAAGGTTCTAAGAGAAGAAAAAACTAGGTTTCAAGCGCTCTTCAAGATTTCATTGATTTTTGCCAAGAACCTTTGTTATTTATGTAAGGCTTCTCAAAGTATTGGATTTATTCAACCTCACGCTCTACATCTCATTTTAGTCAAGAAATCGTTACATTTTGAAGGATTCATTCGTAGTTCTTGATATTGAATTCGGTTCTTTAACAATTAAGATTTTGATTCTTTCGTTTTGCGAATCTATAGTGTCGTTCATGCTTAATATCACTTGAACCCTTTTGATTTAGTAAAATTTATGTTCTCTAAAGAAATTGTATGAAAGTTTTCATGTATTAGTTTTGGATTTGAGAAACAAGAAGTGTTTAGGAACAATTTTTCAATTCTAAATTAATTTGGGGTCCTAAATAAGCTTGAAATTTCGTCTGGGTGTTGGGGAAGGGCATGGGGCTGCGCGCCATGAAAGCGCCAAGGAAGAACTTCAGTAGTTCAAGACCTAGGGTCGCGCGTCATTAGTGCGCCCATGCCTGACTTCTGAAGTTCAAGCCCTGGAGGGGTCTGGGCCAATCTCTCTTTGTTTCATCCAATGCATGTTCCTTTAAGTTGTGGCGACAATTTCCTTCTCTATATTATCTCCTATAGGCTCCGTTTACCTTTAATAACTTGACATATCCTAATCAGACGTGTGTTTTAATGCACGTTCAAAACTAAAGTGAGTTTAAGAGAAACATTCAAGAGCTTTTATTGTGTTAATTCGCTCATGCCTATATTCCAGCATGAACCCTATTATTTGAGTATTCATTGAGTCATTGTTGAGAATCTTTTGATCGAAAAATTTATTTTAAATTGATTATCTATCTGAGAAAGTAAAGAGAAGTTTTGAGAAAAGTTTAAAGACACATTTTGAGTAAAGTTTAAGGGGACTATTGATCCCCAAATTTATCATTTTTACATTAATAAAAGAGAAATTTTGATTTCTAAATGAGTAATAAGTTCAGAGTTATTTCAGAGCAGTTATCTCTTATAAGAGGATATTTTGAGCAATTGTCTCTTATAAGAGGATATTTTGAGCAATTATCTCAAATTGAGAAAGAGTATGTTTTATACATTTTAGCATGAGTATACATTTATTGGGAGTAGTATTGAACACCGATATGAGGATGAGTTCAGACCACTCACATTCTTTATAAACCATGTAGCCAAACATGGGTAAATTTAGGATCATACTTTTTAGATGATTCATTATTGCTTCGAGCAGAGCTTTAATTGATTCACTTAGTTGAGGTGTTCTACATGTCGATAAGGTATATGACAATTCTGACAGCGTGAGTAAGACGTTGTGTCATCACATAACTCATAGTGATGGTTGTGGGTCAGAGAATCTCCCAAATAAAATTAAAGAGCAACTTATTGTATTTTTACATACATCCTTGAGTTAGTATC